TTGAAATTGTCTCCTTGAACTATATCCCCCCACTCGTTGAGTGAATACTTTTTGGATGTTTCCTGGTAAAACGTTATTATTTGCCTTAAACATGATTTGTGCCGTTTGGAATTCTACCAGGTCTGTACATTTTTAACAATTTTGACTGCAGGAATAATTTGTTAGTGTGATCAAGGTATTTGGCATTGTGAATGATTCGTATGGCTTCTTTTTGTAGAATAGATACTGCATGTATAGAACTTTAGTAGTTATCGCCCCAGATTTCAGCACAGTCAGTCAGATATGGTAAGACTAGTGAACAGTAGAGAATCCAAAGTGATTTCTGATCTAGAACTTGTTTTACTTTGTTTAGTATGGAAATGCTTCTTGACAGCTTTGTATGTTTTATGTGTAATTTTCAATTTATTGTGTCATCTATTATTACCCCAAGAAATTTAATTTCATGGACTCTTTCAATTTCAACCCATTTGTTTTTTTGTTCTATGTTTACCGAACAGCATTAATTTAGTTTTACTCATGTTTTTATTTAGTGCATTTCATTTTCTATGTTCGAGCTGTTCTAAATTCTCCCCAGAACAGAATATATTTGTTAAACAGAGTGTGCTTAGGGATATCACGCATCAACCCTCAAAATGATACTTAAAGAGATGCTTTGTACTTAAAATAGATATTCCACCTTTTACGTTTTTGGTGGGTCAAGATAAAAGATTGTATATACACATTTGTGATATTGTGAAAAAACAACAAAGAAAAACACTTTAGGGAAAGTGCAAGAAACTGACTTTACTCTCTCTCTCTCTCTCTCTGTGTGTGTGTGGTGCTGATATCTCCAGAGAGATGGTCACGTGTTGTCGTCCACACAACTCCATCTCTTGTTTTTTCTTCCACTGCTTTCAGGCTCTTATCAGACCCTCGCAGAACAAAACTTCTCAGCTATTTCAATCGTCAGGAGAGCTGTTTGTTCTTGTGATGCAATCGGGCCACAGGACTGTTATCTTGGGAATCGACTACAGCTTTCAAAAGAATAGAACCATCAAGAGTAGTTTATTTCTCTTATTCCTTAGCTAATAGTGACCCAGCTTGAAATCTCACTTTTTCATCATGACAGAACGTGAGGGTGCAGTTACTCAGCAAGAGAGTCAATATCATTTTCAAAAAATAGTCGATTTGGGTGGAAGAGGAGGATGGCAAAGGGGAGAGATTGATTGGACAATCTCTGAGTAGAAGTGTTTGACTTCGATTAGGGAACTCGCCCACAGGCACGTCATCTCATCTCAGCTCAAATGCTCTTTTTTTTATCATCTTTGCTGCAGAATAATGTCTGTTTCCTACTAACATCTAGTATTTTCTAATAACAGCTCTTTATTTGTTCGGACTGCTTAGATGTAGGGCTTTTTAAAATATCCTTTTTGAATAGGTGTTGTTTTAAGGATGGTATTCATTTGGCTGTTATACATTGTACATTTATTTGTGGGCGTTTTTATACGTTGTCCTTAAAAATCAGTGCCAAGTCCATACTTAGGTGACTAGATATTAAATAACACGTTTTGGCTTTTTCACTTGAAACGGCATCATTCAAATAAAAATAAAAACGCTTTATGCATGCAAGGGAAGACACTCAGCTGTGTGAGTAGTGAAGAAGCCAATTTTCTGTCTCCCTTAACTCTCTGAAACTCACTTTAACATGATACAGTGCAGCAAAAGCAATCACCTAAGTAAGATAAGGATGTTACATTTACGCATTGTTATTTATTTTGAAGGAGTGTGTCATTTGTCCTGATCCACTGCAGCTCTTTTACCCCCTGCATGCTTACATCAGCCCATTTCAAATGATGTCTTTAGCTGTGTGTATGTTCACAAGTACATGCCCAGGTGTGTATGTGCATGTGTTTTCATCCCCCGCCCCCTTGAGTGTGTAATCCCTCCATGTGTGTTCGTGGCAGCACAAGGGGATGGTTGAAAAGGTGTGTGTGTGTTGCTGTAAAAAAAAAAAAATGTGGACATAGAGGTCAGGTTTAAATAAGCAGGATAGTAGAGGTAAACCTTCAAAACCAAGGAATTGTTATTAAACCCGTGTTGTGCTTCTCCAAATGAAGGTTGTGATTAAGGTCCTCACATGTTCGGAGACACATGAGCTGCTGTTTCCACCATGATCATTTCTCCCAGAAGTTAAAAAGATGTATTCATAGTAGGGCTACACGATATTGGAAAAAACTGACATTGCGATTTTTTTCCTCCCCTGCGATATAAAAACATACAGGAATTGAAGAAAAGACCGTTTTTTTCCCCCGCAAACCATCCTTTCTTGAACTTTAATGCTATACAATTGGTATTTTTTTTATTATATTCAACCGGATGAAGGATTTTAGTCACGGACGTCTGGATCTTACGTTATCAGAGCAACAAGCTGAGCTAGCTCGGTTAGCAACGCCGAACTGCCCTGGAGAAACACATGAAACTGCATTTTTTTTTCTTTTTAATAAATCGTATGTCCACGCGATGAATATTATGTGATTATCGTCACGACATGATATATCAGGGTGTCCGCGGGGTCTTAAAAAGTATTAAAATTTGATCAATCAATTTAGCGAAAATTAAGGCTATTAAAAAGTATTAAACAGCATTTTCCAAGGTATTAAGAAGGTCCACAGCAACGACAACATGAAACACCCTTTAATTGACTGAAACGACATGTCGGGAAATCCCCTCAAGGCGGCCCCATGCATAGCGAGCCGTAAAATGCGTCTTCTTATTTTAAGTTTCGTTCCCTGTGGGGGGAGAGTCTGTCGATGGGGATCAAAGCTGTCCGGTCCCACATGCTAATTGCTAGTTTAAGTCCCGACTCTCCCGATGGCCAATCCGTGCCTCCCCTAACTGCACGTCGCTGACACACACCGCTGCATTGCAGACTGCACGGAGGAGCAGCAAAGTCCGGGCGATGCTGCTCCTCCAAGGAAGAGACACATGTTCACTTAGCCAAACTATATCCGGTCACAGAGACTATTTTAAAGTAAAGTCAACACATATCCACTAGGGATGGGAATTTGAAAGCAAATGTATATTCGAATATTCGACCCCCCAAAAAACGGTTAACCGGTTAACCGAAATGTGCAAATCCTATTTTAAAAAAAATAAATGTCAGCAGCAGCCATATCATTGGCTAGAACTAGCTAGATCTGATGGATTTGGACATAAACGCGAGTGAAGTATAACCGGACGCGAGAGAAAGAGAGATCAGCACCTGCAGCTCTGCCCGCTGTGAGGGACCGGTGAGCGGAGCAAAACACACCTTTAGACCTCAACTAACACATTTAGCTATGGCACTGTCGTGTGTGTATATATATATTCAATTATTCAATTTGATAATATGTAATCAACTTAGACATCACTCCCAAAAAAATAAAAAAAATAATTATAAAAATATTCATAACTCATATTCGAAACCTGAATAATTTCTAATATTCGATTAATCGTTCCCATCCCTAATATCGACCCTAAATATAGTCTATATTAAGAACGAGAAAAGTCTTAACATATATATCGTTTTTTGTAAACATATGACAAATGTGTGAGGGTGATGACGTCAGAGCATCGTCCTATGTGCCGGGCTTAGCCCCGGACAGCCCCAGCCCAATTTAACCCCTGGGTATTTGTGAGGGAGCTCCTATATGGCATTACCCCGCTGAAGTTCACCAAAGTTTAATATATTTCGTAGTTCAAAGTTTTGTCAATTGTTTTGTTTATTGGTCAAATCCTGGTTTCTAATGGTTTCTGAGGAGTTCTACTGGAATGAAAGAGCACAGAGTACAGAAGCAACAAAGCAGCATGCTGCATTAAACCTGACCTTCACAGAGAGGTTGAAGTTCATGTGGAGAGGAGGCTTCAGTAGTCTGTCTGCACTCTGTTTAGTTGTGCTATCTTACAATCAATATAGTCAATGTGAGGTAAAGTGTGTCGCCAATGTAACCGGTTAGAACTCGAAGTTGCGATGAGGTCTTAAAATGTATGGAAAGGGTCTTTAAAAAAGGTCTTAAAAGGTATTACATTTGACTTCAGGATTCCTGCATATACCCTGTATATCGTGCAGCCCTAATTCATAGCTGTGAAATTGCAATCCTTCAAACTTTTCCTGATTTTTCAGAGAGTTGCTTTTCATATAAAAAGCTTAGCCTCTTATGATTAAATAATGTCAGCAGTATTTGGACTCGATTTGAATTTGGTGTAAATGTCCCACCTTGCTCGTTAACACTGTTTATCAAGCTTGAATTGTAAATGAAGCCATATGTTACTTTGTCCCTGTATAGCAGCAGACAGACTGTGATGATAACTGTAAATTATAAACAGAGAACACATCTACTTCCTGTGTGTGAATGCCTTGTTCCTGTCCTTGACACCTTCTCGTCGCTAAGCAACTCACCATGACAGCAAGTTGGCAGCTCCTCATTGGCTGCCAGTGTTAGTAGATCCTGTATTTTAAGGCCTTGATACCATGGGTACATTTTTGAGGTGATCGGGAAAAAGCAACATGATCTTTATCTCTAAAGCAAACATGCCTCCAATGACGTATGTATAATGACTTGATTATGTATTCTGGCCCAAATAAAAGACTCCCAATGCTTTGTTCGTGATGTTTATGATAATCTAGAATGTAACTGTATTTAATTGCTACAGCCATGGTTGATATTTATTGGGCTTATACTTTCCCTTCTTTGGGGAACTGCGTATTACAGAGTATTATCTTAAAGCTTTAATGTTGTTATGCATGTGATGTATTAACAGTTAGAATGTCTGGAGTGTTTCCTTGTTTTGTTTTGATTGGATTGTATTGCCCTAATTTCAAATTTGAGAATAAACAAAGTCATGGAGACTAACTTTTTTTTCTGTCCATCTTTTCCTCTCTTCCTTTCTTTCTACCTTTCTCTTCTTCCTCTTCTTTCTGCCACAAAGTGAGGATCCAAAGGGGTTTTGGTCCCGTCCACAATAAGTCCTCTTCATCGTAGTCTTCTCTCTGTGGAGGTCGGCGTGTCAAGCTGGAAGGAGGAGAGACGAGTGGGGCCGAGGGCCCGGCGGAGGGCCCGGCCTTCGTGCTCCGACACAGAAACCTAAACGCCGTCGAACAGACGACAGACGGCACCCGGGAGAAAGCAGACACGCCCAGCACAGGTGTTCCAACCTGTCACCTCAGCACCGCAGAGTGCCCCTCACACACCGAGGTGAGTGTCCCACACACACACACACAGTACATGCTGCTGTACTCTGGTTGGTCAGGGCCATGTGGCGCAGCATGGGTCACACAGTAAACTTACCCCAGTAAAACACACACCCTCACATGAATAATTGAAGGTGTTGTTAGCAGTGAAGTATAATATTCTGTAACTTATTCTGACCAGCAAGTCTATAAGTATAATAACAGAAACAAAAACATGTTGGAGTCTTCCCAGTTTAAGATCTGAATGAACTCATCTTGACAGTTGCATGAATGGGAATCGATCATAAATCAATATATTTTCAACGCAGCCTGTGACGCATGTAAACACACACTAGGCCTCTACAATGTTGGTTTGAAACAGTAATTGGTGTTAAATCACTAACACTGAACGTGTTTCCACAGATCGAAAAAGATAGATTCAAATGAACTAGGTGTTGGGGCAATATGCTAAAAAAGTACAATAAAAGAATAAAATGCAAAGAAGAAATAATGATTACCCTGGAAACAAGCATGACTTGATTAGATAAAAGAAGATACAGTCAAAATAGCACCATTTATGTAATTAACAGAGTCTACAGATCTGTGCAGATAAAACTTAAAAACAAACAGACTTTTAATGCATTCTACTGCCTTAACTTAAAGCGTCTCAGAAGTAGTTGCGGAAAGAGAATAGAGCTTTGTGTAATCAGTTTCTCTAGTTTAACCAGCTTGTGTTTGCACGTTTAGATCATAAGCTTGTTTCCCAAGCTTTTCAACTTCCGACACCTCCGCTTATTATCGACACCCTTCACCTTCAAGGCTTCTCAAACTCCACAATGACTCATTCTGAGGGGGGCTCTGCTTCACCCGATCCTCAGTTTAAAGTTGCACCTTAAGTCATAAGTGATGGGGATATTGAATGTGTGTAAGATTTAGGGATGGGTACCGAGCTCCGGTATTAAACGGGCCCCGGGCTGAATTATTAAAGACTGTGGTACGGTTAAGCTCCGACGTTATCGGTCTTTTTATCGGTACTGGAGACATGTAAAAAAGATATGTCATATGTATTATTGCTACACAAACATTATATTGCAGTTTTAGTGTCGCCAACTCAATTTCTAATATGCAAAAAGACTACAAAATGCATCTTTGATTATTTTGAGTATTTTCGATCTTTCCAATCCTGACGAGAGATCTCTCTCCCCCCCTTCTGTGTGCGAGAGGGCGGGGCAGTTTACACACACGCGGCTGCTACATGCAGCCACACACACACACGGAGGAGATGGCGGAGAGACCTCTGAGGTGTGGTTAAACTTGACCCGTCTCGATGTGGACAATCCTCGTTGCCAAAAGTGCAATAAGAGTTTAGCATGTAAGGGCGGTAACACGAGCAATTTGTCTAAACATTTAGCAAAAGTGCTCCACATTCAGACGGAGGAATGCACCGGGTTGGACTGTCTTTCTAGCAGCTCTGTAGCCCCATCCACGAGTAACTTTTCCACATCAGGTGTTATGTATGCTAGCAGCAACACACGGAGTTAACTCAATTATACAAACATGGGTTAATGATTAGAGGTAACTGAGTTATTTAGTTTGTTAAAGTTTCAGCTATTCTGTTTACAGTTCTGTCATCACATTATTTAATACGATTTGTTAAAACATTGTTGTTTCTTTTGATGTGAAATATTATTTATTTAATTTAAATAACAAGAAATGTTAATTTTGTTCACAATTTGTTTAGTTAGTTTACCTCATTTCTTTTCTCCAAAAGAACCGATAAAAGTACCGTTAAAAGACCGGATCGATAAAAGTAGTAGTACCGTTAAAACCTTAACGATACCCATCCCTAGTAAGATTCACTGCCACAAAAAAATAAAGCCGCTATGTCTATATAGAGATGTCTTCCTGGAAGGAGAGCAAACACATTACCAAAATCTGTGTGATGAGCGTCCTATCAAGGCAACCTATCGAACTGATCAAACAGACTCTCTCATGCGGCTTTCACACCAGCGCTTTTCCCTTTCTAGTCAAAGTAAGGTACTTAAACAGAATCACACGAAGCCTGGTTAGTGTTGCCTGACTTTATAAAGTGTGTTTATAAGCACTACTGCTTGTAGGCAGGCATGACAGTCGACCCATGTTCAGGGGAGGAGGGTTTAGTTTCCTGCACGCCTCGACGTAAGAGAGACATAAGCGACGCCACCTCTTAGCTCCGAAGCTCTTGCCTCTAGACCGACAATTTTTTGGAGCTGGAAGTGAACCCGATTCCGGAGCTAAGAGCCGGCGCCGCTGCGGTGTGAACCGGAAAAACCGGCGCTTTTCAGGCTCCAGCTCCGAGCCGGAGCTGAAAAAGCGCTGGTGTGAAAGGGGCATCAGAGGCATCACTTGTGTGTCCCTGTTTCCACAGTATGTGTGTGTGTCTGCGTGTGTGTGCAGACAAAGCTGCCGCTCTGTTGTTCAGTGTGAAAGGCTTCAGCACGCAGCCGTTGAGCTGACACACAATCGTTTGTGTCTGCTCGTGTGTGCCCTTTTTACCTGCTGTAACACAATGCGGATACCTGAAATGGCTGGGGGGGGGGGGGCACAATCAGCGAGGGCCGGCTGTCTTCACACCCGCCGGTCGCCTGTTGAATCTTTCAGCAGTTTGTGGGTGTGAGATCAGTGGATGTGATGCCTCTGTCTCTTATTTTGGCAGTTTTTGGCTATAAACTTTATTTAAAAACTTCTGGATTACATTTTTTCAAGTTTCCTGTTTTTCAAACCTTTTTTGAATTTGTCCCCATGAGTGTTGGTGTTTGCCTCAGTTCTGATCACACCCCACAGCTGTTTAAAAGAAACAATAGTTGTTAACCTGCCAAAAGCTCACCCTATTCAGAAAGAAATATTTGATATGGGAAACATGTGCTCAGGAACAGGCCGTTACATTTGAAATGTATCCTAGTGATGCATCTAAAACGGACCGTTTTAAACACTATAGTTGTTTCTTGAACAACTTTACATTAGTGAGCTATCAAGGCCAAACCAAAGTTCATTTACAAATTGTTTAATTGAATTTGCTTTATTAAGACTTGGAGGAATCGTAGATGGCATGAGCTTTAGGAAAGTACATTTCAATTGAAAGTTTATGCGAATGAAAATGAGATTTTCAGGAGAGTGGAGATCCTGCTGAAAACTAAAATAGCAAAGGAACTCAATGGAGCCTGGCATTTTAGAGTTTTACCAGAAAGAAAAAAACGTTTTTTTTGTGTTTTTCAAAACACAAGAGATGACCGATGCTTCACTTTAAAAAATGCATCTCAAACTTTGAAGAAAATTCCACAAAACACTCCGCTGTGGAATGTTATTACGCACACATTTCAAACCCCCACGGAAACAAGGGAAATGACATTAAAGAGTGAACAAATACCAGAAAACAATAACATTTTGGACCTCTGCACATCCTCTCTTTGTGCCAGACATATATGTTGCGTTCATGCATGGGTGCCGAGCTTCAGGTTGATCTAACATCCAGTTTGAAATCCTCTTATTGTACTTGACATGAAAGTTATTCCAGCATTCTTATCTTATTGCCTTGAACCCTCTGACATTGTAAGGATAAAATGGGATAACACAAATATATAATGAAAGAGGTTTAGGGTTTATTACAAAGACATGAAAGTGGTATGATTCTTTTCATCTCTGCGAGAAAGCGACTTAAGAATATTTCCCAAACACTGACCTATACCTTTTTATCATCTAAAGCAGTGCTTCTCAAAGTGTGGTCCGCGGACCACTGGTGGTCCGTGAGCACCCCCTAGTGGTCCATGAGTATATTGGTAACATTTCACATTTGAAATAAATAAATACATTTCAGTTTTCCGCACTCTCGCGGGAATATCTCCGCAATGGAGCGAGGTTAAGTTTCACTTTCGATTGCATGATATAGCCCAGCACAACACCTTCATCACACATGTGGCCACTTGTTTGTACCATTTTCAGGCGATTTGTAATCTGTTCTAGAAAAACTATGTGATTTTTTGTATTGGTTAAGTGGTCCTTGGTATGAAAAAGTTTGAGAAACACTGATATAAAGGACATCAACAAACACCAACAATCCTGTCAGAAAAGCAAATAAGAAAACGAGTTGTATTGGCTTTCAGTAGGCACAGAATGTTCCTCTTTAATGTTGCTGAAGTGTCTCATTAACAAATGAAGCCCTCTAACTGTGAACAGTTTGATAGAAATCTGTTACTTTGTTGCCATGCTTTAGCAGATTTGTCATGCCCTCCTCATGGTAATGGGACAGAGAGAACAGTTTGTCTTGTGGCAGCCTGAGGACTCTGTTTTTTTGAGTTGGACATGTGTGCATGTTTTTGAACTCTGTCTGTTTTAATGATCTGGGCGTCTTTTCCAAATTGTTGTGATCCCAAGAGAGCGTTGTGCATGTGCAAGTCACATGTCGAGCCTCTCAGTCTGTGCTGTGCAGGGTCACGCTGTACAAGGGTGAGCTCTTCTCTCTTTGGTCCGTTAAAGATTCAGACTCTACTTTTTTTTTTTTCATCTCCAGTTGTAAAGCGTCCTTGGGTTTCTTGAAAGGCGCTATAGAAATCTATATTATTATTATTGGTCCACTGTTTCAGCTCTATTCTGATTGGCTAGAGCAAACTGCCAGCACCTGACTTTGTTTACATTGAGTCTAAAGTTTGCTGGAAGATTATCTTTAAAGGTCTCTCTCTCCCTTCCTTCTGAAACTCTGCCACCAGCTGACTGTGTGTGTGTGTGTGTGTGTGTGTGTGTGTGTGTGTGTGTGTGTGTGTGTGTGTGTGTGTGTGTGTGTGTGTGTGTGTGTGTGTGTGGTGTGTGTGTGTGTGTGTGTGTGTGTGTGTGTGTGTGTGTGTGTGTGTGTGTGTGTGTGTGTGTGTGTGTGTGTGTGTGTGTGTGTGTGTGTGTGTGTGTGTGTGTGTGTGTGTGTGTGTGTGTGTGTGTGTGTGTGTGTGTGTGTGTGTGTGTGTGTGTGTGTGTGTGTGTGTGTGTTTTTAAGAAAAG